ATATACAACATAACCTCGCCCTATTACCAGCACAGAGATAATCTTGCCTAGTCAGTTTGCACGTGTCAGCTTTGGGGTTGTAAAATGAATACAACTGGAATGTTAATCTCTTTTAGCACCATTTTAGATGCTATAATGACCAGAAACACAAAGTTTTTCCTCCAATCGACACTTTTCCCAGATAGCCACTAAAACTATGGCAGCGTGCCAACCCTCCTCTGAGGGTAAATCATTTCTCATTCATCACCATAAACCTGCTCACGTTACCCCTTTATATATCCCCTGTGGCGGCATGAGTAATAGAAAGTCACATCCTCCAGTGTGTTTGCAATACTACAGCTTTAGTCATACATAAGATAACAAATCTGCACGTGTAACCTTGAGTAGAGAATATGGAAAATTCCATAAGTCCAATTTCAATTTGACTGAATCATCACATGTCATGTTTACATCGTCCTGTGTAGAAAAGAACTACGTGATCATTGAGCATAGATTGCTCCTAGAATAAGAGACATATGTGGCCTGCAGGAGTATCTTTCAGTCCTTTGTTTAACTATCAGTGAGCTCCTCTACTCACTCTGAGGCCCTGACCCTCACTGACTGATGGCTGCTATTTTTAGATGACCTAAACCACGATGACCCCCCCTCTCTGTAGCTCCTATCAGAAGTGAGGTGAAAGGCTTGTGTGGACGTTTGCCAAGATATTTCTGCATTTCTGCTGTCATGGTAAACTACGCGAAGGTTATCACATCCTCACTCGGTCAAAAAGAGAGTTTTAACTAATGTTTGCATTTGCTACAATAATGCAAATGCAACAATAATTTCAGAATAGAAAACTTAGTTGCTGCATTTTAAGTATTGTATTCCACCCAACACTTTCCACTGGTTGAGAAAGAAAACAAGTGTGAAATTATTTGAGAAACAGTTGTAAATCTATGATGGGTCTTCTTTTCTGTTGCTGGGTTTATTATCCAGCTGAAAATGTCAGTGACAGCCACATGTATTTCACAACCAATAGTTTATCGTAAGGGAAGAATTATGTGAAGCCGTGTTGTTGGCAAAGTAAACTTTCAGTAAATGATCTACAAAGTCAGATGTAACCTACTTAAACACGGAGCGGGACAGATCTTTGCCAGCTTTGATCTTGTGACAAGTCATGTGACCCAGAGAGTTTTCTTCTGACCACACCGATGTGAGAAATACAAATAACTGTTTTTTGGATTTAACTTTCACATAATAAAATGAATCACAGTCTGATGTGAAAAGTTTGTTGCACAAAGCACTTCCTCACCGATCTCACTGCACTACTGGTCCCTTTAAGCAGGAAGAGCTGCAGATATTGGGTGTGTAGTGTAGTTGATCATTAACAGGCAGCTAATTTATTTTGTTCAGTGATGCAGGCAGGCTGCACTTCACTTCCTTCCAGGAGACACTGACTCTCTGTCAGCTGTTGTTTCTGTAGTTCAACTATGCAGCCGTACAACAAATCTCAGTCCAGGTGAGTCTCACTCTATGACTTCTGGTCGTTTAGTTTGTTTCATGAGAACACAGAAAGGGCTGAAGACTTAAGCATTTGCTCATAAGATCATATGAAGGTGGGATTTAGAGGAAATTTGAACCAGCCTCTTGGATGTTTTGATTCATGGAAACAAGAGTTGCTTTACCTGAGCTGTTCCAATTCCACAATTTAGTGTTTATTGTTTTATTATTATTGTTTATTCAATGTTTGCTAACACCACAGGTTTGAGAGTCTTGCAATTTCAATACTACATATGTCCTGACCTGTACATCTGCAGAACTGACAATAAAGCAACTTTGACTTTGAAAATATGTTAAAAAAGTTTAAAAACCAAATTAAAAAAATTAATTGCAGCCTTATTTAACCTACTTATATTATTTCTTGCATTAATACACATTTATAATTTATAAGCCCTGGTGGGTCCAACCTGCCCAGCAACTCACAGCAGCATATCTGTGAACATGCTGTTGATCAACAATTGATCATCTGTAATCCACACACAGAAAAACCGCTGAGCACAATCAACCTTATCTCACCAATCAATAGTTTTGTGTCAGTATCTCCTCATAAGCTGATACCCATGATTTAAGGTGTGTTTTATCATTGTCATCATGTCATGTCACGTTGCAGACAGGACCGTCTCCTCTCAGAGGGTCCAGCGGGTCAGGGTCACCCCGGGTCACCCACGGCTTTGGTCTGCACAGCGGAGCAGTCGGCATCGCCGTGTGTGAGCTGCCACAAGGTGAAAGCTTCACTTACTCACATACAGTAAGCACAGATACAACACTGATGATTATGCACATTCTCAAGGCCTGACTTGTTTTCATTAGCCTACTTAATGCCAGTGGGGTTACAACATTGTGTTAAAGATAGAATAAAAACCAAGTTACACTTTTGGAAATCACCAAATGTTAACCTATTTTGAAGGGATTGGAAAAAAAAGACAAATATACAGGCAGTGATATCATACTGATAATAATGATAAAGGTCTTGCTGTTTACAGAGACACAAAGTCACTGAACATGTATTGTACATGTATCTACTATACTGAAAATTGTTCGGGATCATCAAAGCTTTTCAGAGATTTTTAAAGCACAAAATGCTATATGCGTTTTCATTTTTCAAATTTCCTGCTTCCTGGATTAATCCCTTATTTTATTTATTATATATATTATATATATATATATATATTATTATATACATTCTTTTATCTTTCTTTTCTTTACAGGAATCTGCAGAGTTCTGTTCATCCACAGGCCATCGAGACTGGCACTGCCCTGTCTGCCTGCAGATAGCCAGCTTCCCTGTGCAGACCAACTGTGGCCATTTGTTCTGTGGTACGAGATTACACACACAAACACACACACACACACACACACACGCACACGGTTTGTTCTTTTATTCATGCACCTGCTCCATCCATCTTCTACTGTATGAAAAATGGATCCATTTATGATTCATTCATCTTGCTCACTGGTTACCTCCCGTGTTTATGTCTCTTACATTGGCTGAGCAGTGCAACATCATCATGCTACAGTTGTGTGTCTCAAACATTGATATGTTTAAATCAGTCGCACAACACATTCAAATACATGAGATGCACAAATGAACTCAGGGAAAAGGAAACATCAGTGTTTTATACCTGCTGGTTGGGTCACAAGTCACAATTGAAATTTTTTGTCACAGTAATTCAGCAGAAAGAATACTTGGAATCTGGAAATTTAGATGTCCATGTCTTTTACATTGACCTTTGCTGTGCTACTTCAGGTGTGAGTGGTCTGTACTCAGTCTTCAAGCATCAGCCTTGACAAATTATACTTTGAAAGCTTCAAGTCTCCTGGCTGATTCTATCTGTGTAAGATTCCTCCAAATCCATTGAGCAGCTATTCCTAAAGGGTTGAAGAGAAGTAAGCTTTTTATTCTGTGTATATTCCGGTTTGTGCACAAAAGTAGGGATGTCTGGTTAAAGGTAATATTGATATGATCTGTGACAGATTACAAAGCAATAGCACACACTTAAACTTACCCTTACTGTAAAAAGTTACCTCTACCTGACCCACTAACCTGTTCTTCACCCAGACACCTCTGCCTGTGATAAAAAAAACAACATTTTCTTTTCATTCTTGTCCTACGAATGCATTTTATTGGAATGTACTTACAGTGTTAATATGTGAAAGAGGCATTAGATATTTTGCATCATAGTGTAAATAGTGAAATGTGGATTAAAAGCTTCTGATTCCTGTTTGATTCTGCAGCTCCCTGTCTGATCGCCTACTGGAGACACAGCTCATGGTTGGACGCTATCAGCTGCCCTCTCTGCAGACAGAAGGTACAGAATGCATGTTCAAGTGTAAACATAGTTTGAACAGTCAGTTCAGAAAGAGTGTGAACCCAGAGTTAAAACGTGCCTTTTACAGGTCAGCGTGCTGTGCCATCTATTTAAGGAGAGTCGATCAGACCGACAGTCAAAGGAAGTGCTTGGGGAAATCACAGATTACAACAGACGTTATTCTGGAGCTCCACGGCGGGTCAGTGTTCCATCCAACTTTCAGACGTGACATCACACAGCACACATGCTCTGTCTTACTGGAAGGAAACGATTTTCTCATTAGAAACTTCTCTTTCCACAGTAATTTTCCCTTTTCCCCACCCTCCACCTTTCTGGTTGTGTAAAAGTCAAGGTTAAATCAGATTAGATCATAGGAAAGATGAGAACTCCTTCCCTGTTGTCCTGTTATAATAGGTTTGAAAACAGGAGTATCGCTTACACAACCTCAACCATTTACTGTCATATACAACCACCACTTCCAGACAATAGTGTCTGGTGAACACATTTAGTACACGCCTTGTTACCCAACCTTGGATTTTTATCTCTTAGAAATATTCATGTAACTTATTCCTCCCGTCACATCTCTTTCACATTATTACATATCAAATATGGTGACGTGTGAAAGTGCACTGTAAATAGGGGCAGCTAAATTTTGAGGTGATCCAGGTTTGGAATAACTCTTTTCAACACAAATATAAACATTTTAATATACAAATACTTACATTTTAAATGAGAAATATTATTCTCATATTTAGGTTTATAATTTATTGGAGGAGTAAAGGGAGTAGCTGAGGGTGGTCGGCTGTTCGATCCCAGTCTTCCCTATCTGCCTGCCGAAGCGTCCTTGGGCAAGATACTGAACCCCAAATTACTCCTCATAGAAAAAGTCCTGCCCATAGATGTACTGTATGAATGTATGGAACTGTAAAGAGCTTTGGTCACCAAGACTAGAAAAGCATTATGGAAATACAGACCATTTACCATTTCCCTATACTGCAGACTTTGGGCCTTTCAACTTTCTATACACAAAAAACTGTATAATAGGGTAAACTAGAGGGTAGGGACACGATAAAAAAAGCATACATCTCCTATAATAAGAAAACACTGACAGTGTAAATGTGCTTTATCTATCCACAGATATCGTATTCTCCCTGCTTCTCTTTTAATGTTATAGAGTACAGTCATACGTGACATTTGAATGACCTAGAATTCACTAAGTATGATTTCCTCCCTTCTGGCCGATGACAGGTAACAGACTACCTGTGTGACGCGCCCCTCCTCCTGCAGTTACTCGCTCGAGGCCTCGGCACCATGGGAAGTCTTGTGTGGCTGTTTTTCTTCAGGGTGGCCCTGTGCTGCGTGGGGACCGTGATGTCCATCTCCTCCCCTCCTCTGGACCCAGTCTCCTCATCATCAGCAAGTCCCCTGGAGTCAGACCCCTCCCTCTGTGGACTGCTTGGGGTGCTGGATGACCTGGTGGTGGTCAGCCTGCTCCTCATCTGCGTTATCAACATCAATCAGCAAATGGTGTCAGAGAGCAGAGGACACTCTGCAAATACTATGGCCTCTCGAGGAGTCATGGGGAATTCTCTGTAGACAGATGCTTCTGTTGAGCTGTTTGAAATGGACTTGTGTTGGATTTCATCCTTCTGGCTGTGGATGGTTGGATTAGTGGATGCAGGGAAATTGACATCAACTGTGCACGTAAAACTCAAGGTGTCAAACTGTGTCTCAGTCTCCCAGGCAGCATCAGCCTCCAAGGCCTGTTTGTCAACTGTTTACAGAGCCCATGTATGAGTGAGCTGAAATACAATCATGTGCAGTGTGGTGGTTCAGCTTTGCCTAAAAAAAATCTTCATATGCATTAATACTTCATTTATATTTTAAATCTTTTTTTAAAACCTTTGTTGTTTTGGGCAGCAAATTTCCCATCTTGTTTCAGCAAGCTGAAGAAAATCTTTCATGTCAACACTGTAATAATGACATCTAGGAAAAATACTTTGTTTGTTTTTATGTGTAAAATAAAGACTATTTATTGTTTTATGTTTTTATTTGCATGTTTATTGCAGTTTCATGGGTTCCAGCAGAGCAACACTAATAATGTCAGCATGCTTCACTGGTACATTAGTGAGATAAACAGTGAGTTCCTGTGCAAAGAAGACAGAGTCAACATGAATCCACAACCTTCTCAAAGTCTAAGTATTACAGCAGGTATTGGTTACAATGTAAACAGTCAAAGTACCACAGTTAGTAAAAAAAGTGAAGAAGAACCCTATTCAGTGAACAGGTCTTTAAGCTTTGGTCCACACACTCAACAGAGACAGTTCTGTTTAGACAGAGAATGATCATGACTGTGTGTTGCTGCACCAGGCAGCTGCGTTCTTGAACATGCGTAACCACGGTGAAGGTGTGAGAGAAGCTCTGAAGTCCCTGGGGGCCCAGGGCCACTGCCATCCCAGGGTGCAACGCTCCGGGTGGGGCATCATGGCCAGGTGTCTTCCGTCCCTGGAACAGACCCCCGCAATACCCTGCGGGGAGCCGTTAGGGTTCAGAGGGTATTCTTCAGTGGGACGACCCAGGTCATCGAGGTAACGCAAGGGGGCGTAGCCTCCAGAAATAATCTTGTCCTGAGCCTGTGAGCTACGGAATTGCATCAGACCTGTGGAGAGGAAAGCAGTTTGGGGAAAATCAATATCAAACAGCTGTGGATTTCAGAACACACTGACCCTGTGACATGTGAGTCAGCAGATCGAGCTGTCGTTGCGTAACGTCAAATCTCACAGTGATTCACTTTTTTGTGCTCACAACAGGGTTTCAGCAGCTTTCAGCAATTTAAAAGACTTTTTAAGACCATACAATGACCGACCTTCATATTGGTCATACTTGGCATTAATATTAAATTTCAGAGTCCCAAAATGACTTGCACTTTCCCATAATTGAAGTTAAGGTAAAGTAGCTTGGTAGAGAATAAACCACATCATCTCAAACCACAGAGCTGGTTCAACCTGCAAACCTTTTAAGAACCAGTTTGCTTTTCCGACCTCTCAATGCCTAAACTGTAAGAATGAACCCATGAACTAGCACTTATTACATTTTATATTAAATTATATATTCATTCATTCATTGAATGTTCTCTCGTCTCTCTCACACATGCGTGCTGACACACCCACCAGCACAGACTAAGTTGATTTGATTGAAATGACACAAAAGCAATACTGATCACCACATCATGATCGATACTTGTCCTATATGAGTAAAATATCTCTGCATAGCTGCACTGTCATTTTCAAGCGCGATGTAGTAGAGTTAAATCAATGTTTACATTATTAACACCTACCTAAACTTATTTAAGACCTCGTACATAACATTTTAATATATTTAAAACTTCTTAAGGTTCAAGATTCAAATGAATGATAAAAAATGTCGTTTTTTTTTTTTACTTTTTAAGACCCACAAAAAACTCTCAATACTGCATTCACTTCACCAAGAAGTATGTCAGTACATTATTGAATCTACAGCAGATTCCTGCCTGTACCTTCTCCATGTGCAACCCAGACTCCCAGAGCCGATCCCTCCATGCCTCTGAGCCATACGGACGGGGACGCCTGGATCCCAACGCTGACGAAGCGTGACTCAAACCTGCCCGACTTATTATGAGTCAAAACCACCTCAGACTCTGGGATAAAAATGGAAAAAAATGAAAAATGTGTTAAGCCCAGTTATTGCTCTAAAAATTCTCCTCTGTGATGACAACATTCACTTCTTCACTTACTGCTGTTACAATGTACGACTGCAGTGGTATATTGTCATTGTTTTTTCCTACATTTTTCTCATACCTGTTCCATCTTTGCCTTCTCCCACCCAGCCCAGCAGGGCGAGCAGCTGGCAGCCATTACACACACCCAGACTCAGCGTGTCGTCCCGCTGCCTGAAGCGATCAAACTCAGCCTTGGCTTTGGGGTTATAGGCAACTGTGGCTGCCCAACCTTTCATGAAAGGAGAATGTTGTTACACAGGATGAAATCTGTGTCTCACAGTACTCTGGAGATTTGTGTGTGTGGTTCTTTACCTTTAGCAGATCCCAGGACGTCTCCGTAGCTGAATCCACCAACAAACACGACAGCTTTGAAACGCTCCAGGGTCAGGGAGCCGGAGCACAGGTCCTGCATTGTGACGTCCCACACCTACACACAAATATAGACATCATGCACATCGGCTGTAGCACTTTGGTAAACATACATTGCAGCCACTTAATGAAGGCGATTATGTCTTATACCTACCTCAAAGCCGGCCATGTACAGAGAGACAGACATCTCTCTGTCTCCGTTACTGCCTTCTTCTCTGATCACTGCTACACGAGGCAATGCTGCAGCTGAACCACAACAAAATTGATTTATGATCAATAAGAAATGTGTCAATGATAATTTCAATACTTGATAATCACATGAGACTGCTGTACATAGCTACTTAAATGGTATGATAATCATGTGAATTCTTTTATTTTTAGTTTATTTTATTTAGTCTTTATTTGGCATTATTTTAGACAGTAAGATGATAAATTATAAATCAATTAATAAAATAACTCATCCTTAAATTGGTCATTAAAATAGTAATTCATTTGGAGCCTTGGATACACTAAATAACAGAGAATATTATCAGTTATGTTAACTCTTACAGAGCTGAGGCATTTCCGAGGGGTTGAAGGAGAGTTTGAAGTAGGGCTGCGTCCTCTTGGCCAGCCCTGATTCCTCCTGTTCAACACAGAGCTCATTGGCCTGCAGTCGCTCTAGCTGGAAACTCGTGTCCTCCCACAAAGCTCTGAGGCTGGGGAGCGGCTCTCTCAGCAGCTCCTGTCCATCCACGCGAACACTGACCTGGAGGTGCAGTGAGAGAAACAGGAGATGACTGTCATCGCACATGAAGTGAAATGGTTTTGGATACATGTCGAGGTCGATGTCTCACCACAGCCTCCGGTCCGAAGCCACAGGTTCTGCCGATGCGGAGGCACTGCACGCCTGCATCGCTGAGTCTCCGACTCACTGTTTCTTCATTTGACTGTGACACCTCGAGAACCAAACCCAACTCCTCACTGAACAGCAGCTCCATGACTGTGCAGACAAAGATGCATGATTTTGTGATCACTATCTATTAATTGTGGTTTACAGGGAAAAACAAATGCACATCAACTCCTTAACCTCCAGTTCCTCCAGACGACAACTCAACATCAATTCCACGGTTTCCTGCAAATGCCATTTCCAGCAAACAGGAGATGAGGCCTCCGTCACTGATGTCATGTCCAGCACTCAGCAGACGATCTGAAAGAAGAAAACACATTTTTTTAATGCCCTCTTCGTTTTCTATTTCCACAAATAGAACCTAAAAGGGCAGATTATACACAGTAAACCCACTAGGTGGCAGTGTTAATACAGCACCAAAAGGCCTTTTGACTAGCATATAAAAACAAAGTAGAACAGCTCTTACAGACTAAATTAATGGTACACAAGGCTAACATTTTAACTTATTCTTCTTCTATGGTGGATTGTACTTCGCTGACTGCAGACTGACCATGTATGAGAGTCTGAGTAGTACTGAAGCAGGAAGCCAATAGTGTTGGATGGTCCAGGTCAGGGGAGCAATCTCCCAGCTGGCTGTAGCATTGAGCCAGGGCAGAGCCTCCCAGACGATGATGGCCTGGACTGAGAGGAACCCACAACAACACGCCTGCAGACAGAGGACAAAGGGTCAACGGTGTGTGTTAGACCAGTGGTTCTTAACCTCCTCGATTCAATGTAATTATACTTTTTGTTTTGGCCGAGCCACCTTTGTGCTCAGACTCTCAGTCGCACTCTGTAACATCCATTTTAAAGCAGATCTTATTACTGTTATATTAATTAAAAAGTTAATTTCCCAGTCTAAGATATGTAATTTCATTTGGACGCTTGCCTCCAGCTCAATCTATGAAGCGCTGGACGTGATGCGTTGGTCGAGTTGAAAAAGTCGGGAGGTGTGCGACAAGGTAAATGGACAGTACTGGCGATCATAAATTAGGCTTCAGAGAGAGAAAGCAGTAGATTATCAGATCATTTCAAATTCTGTATTCTGTGTTCCATCATGAACTAGAACTCTGGCAACCAGACATGTGCTTTTTGAATTTTGATTATGAATATCGTTCATGCACTCAAATTTTTGTATGTGTGGGTTTCTTACCTTTGCCATCTGGATCCTCCAGATCAGGCGTCACAGTGGCCGTGATGTCAGGACAAACAGCATATGCCGAGATAACCAGAGCACCTGAAACAAAAAAACAAGTTAAAGTGAAAACACACTTCTATGCACGCAAACACGCACACTGGCACGCAAACACGCACACTGGCATGCAAACACAGACACACACACACACACACACACACAGTGAGAGTACCTGGAGCTTTGACTGTATCATTCCCAACTCTAGCCGCCATACTCAGAGAATCCTTGCCACCATCGATGGCCACTCCCAGCTGACCCATGACCTCACACATGGCTTTGCAGGCCTCCCACAAACAAGCTCCTTCCCCAGGCAGCTTGGCAGCCCACATCCAGTTGCCACTACACTTCACATCCTGCAGACACAAGTCCAGGACATTTACGTTGGCAGAAACTACAAATCATTGGACATTTTCTAGTTCTAACACAATCTAGATTATTTTATAAAGTGTGGACAGAATCAAGTATCTTGTATTTTTTTGTATTATTTGTTATGCAGGTGTTACTTGATGAATTTCACTCTTTGGGTTTTTACTGAAACAGATTCCTTGATTTTCCTCCTGCTCTCCATTATCTGCTCACCTTGAGCGCCGTGACTCTAGCAAACACCAGATTGGTCAGAGCTTCTCCCACAGCCATACGAGCCCCTGCTGCAGGACACACCAGCCCTTTAATCGGCTGCTCCCCGATGGCTGTCGCCGCTCCCTCTGTGCTGAACGGTGAGAGAGCAACAACAGCCACGTCAGCCAGTGG